AACTCCAACTGATCAAAGCCTCAAGGAATATCATGTTTCCTTCTTAATACTTGTATGCATATGACATCATGATATACTGCAAAGGGAATTTCAGGAAACTGGTGGCTCTGAGGGACCTTTTCACCAATTATGCCATGGTCTCTGGCCAAGTGGTTAATCCTAACAAATATATTGTTTTTGCAGGTTTTATCTCTCAGGCTTGGATTCAAAGTATTACCAACTTCATAGGTTTCAAGATTGAATCCTTCCCTTTTTATTACTTAGGAGTGCCTATATTTAAAGGGAAGTCAAAAACCATAGGCATCTAGCCTATTTCAGATAGAATTAAATCCAAATTATCTTGTTAGAAAACTTCCCTTCTATCAATGGCTGGCAGAGTACAATTGGGCAGATCAGTAGTGCATGGCATGCTCATTCATTATATGTCTATTTATTCTTGGCCTTCTGCTTTGCTTAAAGACTTGAATAGATGGACTAGGAATTTTATTTGGCAAGGAGACATCTCTCAAAAGAAATTAGTCATCATGGCCTGGAAAAAGGCCTATAAACCATACTCTCATGGTGGTTTAGGCATCAAAAGCCTCTCATATCTCAACTTTGCTACTAAACTTAAACTCTGATGGGAATTGGTCAATTCTCAGGAGCCTTGGGCTTTGGTTCTTAGAAGCAGCGTGCTAAGAGGTCCCTTTTCTATCCAACATCACATTTCATCTTCTGTTTGGAGCAACATTAAGGAAGAATACAGGGTTGTTCAGGAAAAATCCAAATTTATTTTGGGTAATGGTTATTCTATAAATCTATGGTATGATTGTTGGTGTGCAGATCAACCCTTAGATGATATCTTATAGATTCCCCGAGTTTTGAGAAACAGATACAATTTAAAATTTTATGACATTTTGGAGAATGGCCAATGAAACATACCCTCTGAACTTTGCATACAACTCCCTACTCATCAAAATCATATTCAAATAATTCATATTCCTGTGTCACCTTGTGAAGATAGGCTATATTGGAAACACAAAGACAATGGAGATATAACCCTAAAGGAAGCCTACATGTTTAAATATACATCATAACACAATATCCCTTGGTCTAAATACATTTGGAGTAAGGACACACCTCATGCTCTTTATTTTGTGGCTTGACGCTTAATGCACAACAAATTATCCACATATGATAACTTGTCCTCTAGAGGATTCAATCTCTCTTCCAGTTGCAGTCTTTGCTTCCGTCAGCAGGAAAGCTTTATGCATCTTTTCAATTGTTGCCCATTTGCATCTTTCTTCCATCGAGGATATCTGGTTGATTTGTGAAAGAATTTGCACCCCCAAGTTAAGATAGTCATACAAGCATGCATTAGCAATATCATCAACATTATTTGGAGTTCCAGAAATGCTACCAGACTCAATAACAAAATCAATAATTGGAAAATCGCTATCAGTACCATAAAGAGCAAAGTGATTTTAACAGGTAACTCTTAAAATCTCATCTATCGAAATTCCATGCTCAACTTCATCATCTTAAAGAAATTGGATATCAGGATTCTCGCAGCTAAGTCTTCTACCATCACAGAGGTTATCTGGTGCGCGCCTATTGCTGGTTGGTGGAAATGTAATACTGATGGTGCTATAACGAACAACGATTATGTGTGTGGTGGAGTGTTCAAGAAAAATCAAGCGGTCTTTGTGGCTTCCTTCACAGAGAAACTCAACCTGGTCTCATTTGTTTCTGCAGAGATATATGGCATGCTCAATGCTATAGAAATTGCATCCAGGTATAATTGGAAAAATATGTGGGTAGAATCAGATTCCACTCTTGTTGTCATGTCTTTCAGGAATAGTTCTATTGTGCCTTGGCATCTCAAGAACAGGTGGAATAGTTCAAACCCTGCTCCATCACATGAGCTTCTTCATAACACATATCTATCATGAGGGAAACTCCTGTGCGAATTACCTTGCGAACTCCAGTCTCCAAGCTCAAGGTTTCATCTTTTGGGAAAATCTTCTTGACTTTATTACACCAATGGTTTTAAAGGATGAGATTGGCGTGTCACCCTTCCGTTTTTCAATTCTTTAGCTTTTGCTTGATTCTCCCCTTTTGGACTTTGTAACAATCTTATTTATCTATGAAATTGATTAGCGGTCTGCTGATCCTTTTTGTTTTAAAAAATATTTTATCGAGTGATATAGGTTATATCGTATCGTGTTCACAGAGATTGGTTATTGAATCGCCATTCAAAAAATCATTCGTTAATGAGTTTGGGGATAAATGGTATAAAAAAGTATCAACAGAAAACAAATGTAAACAAAAGAAATAAAATAAGGAAGAACTTATCAAGCCTGCATATAATTTACTCATCACAGGCTTAAATCTACCGACTAGTTACATTTAACTAAACAATACTCATCAATGTCACTATGTATCACTCACAATCTAAGTCATTTCTAACCCAAATTGAGAGACTGACTGTATCACCAAGGAAATGATCTCTCTACCTCCTTAACAACACGGAAGACAATTATGTTATCGCACTGACGATCTATTAGCACAACACAACCACATAGAGACATTAAGCTCTGATACCCAAGTAGATGTCAGCTCTAAATTTATCTCTAGAGTTTAGAAACTAACAGATAATCATCCTAGATAATAATTTAAGCATTATATGTCTATAACAACTCAAATTCCTAGCACAGAGAAAAAATATGAGACAACAATCCATAAAGATTTGTAAAGCAAGTTTAATATAACGACATGGGCGACAAATATACATGAGTTCAAAGTAAAATACATACAAAACCCAACAAAAGAGAAATACATATATAGGAGAAGAGATAAACCACAAATCTTCCGGTTTGTCAGTGTCGGTCGATGAGAAATCTACCTCTAATCATCCATAAGCAAAGTCCTAGTGTTGTTATCTAAGCTAATCTACTACAAAAATGAGGTTGATGGAGTTGGGAGAATAAAAATTCACCCCCAAAACGGCCATTCTCCAAAATGACAAGAAATGAAAGTATAAAGAATTTATGATCCGCGACCGTCGCCCGACGACACAAACACGTCGCCCGGAGACGACTTCTATACACTTGACCCAGGTAACACCACGTTCTCAACTGAAACAAATATTTAATGTCGCTCGACGACACATTGCTTCGCCCGACGACTCTTTATTTTTGCCTGGCGACCTAGACGCGAAGCAAGGCAGAGGCAACATCAAAATTGGTCTTCTCGCCCATTATCGCCCGACGACAGGAATTTCGCCCGGCAACACATGACAGTTCAACAACTTTTGTTGCTTCCACTGCATAACTTCACATGGCCTTCAATCTTGGCCTTATTCCTTTATTGATCCAAAAATGCATCTTGGAGCTTTATTCTTCTTGCTCTCACAATGCTCAAATACCTACAAAACATATACAAAACTAATCAATCGATACAATATCTACTAAAAACGCAATTAAACGTATTTACAATAAAAAGCAGGGTTATTCAACTGATATTAACAACAAAGAGTCAATAAGTGCAATAAAAAATATATATAAAATAACTACACTTTTGCACTTATCACATGGACGAATAGAAGAATCGTTGAATGCTATGAGGCTTTGGCCTTCACACGATCTCAAATCTTGCTTTCTTAAGTCTGGCTCTATGAAGATTCTGAGTTATATCAAGTTGAAGGAATTTTCGTTGAGAGTTCCTGAGACATATTGATTAGAGACAATAGTGGTAATGATCAACGAAAGCGTTATGTTAGAAGTTTCATCCACCTATTTGTGGTCTTGGAGCCCAAAGATCAACCAGTTGCTATTTCGCTTCTCAATTAGCGATGTTTGATTAGATCTCCATTGATTGCATCTATGAAAAAGGTTGGGGTGATCTGGAATTGGAGGATTTCGAAGTATTTTTGGAAACGAGATCCAAAATTGCTTCCATCTTGGCGTAGCTGTTAAAGTAGTTAGGGCTCGAATTAGAAAAGGTTTCATTGAATCAGAAGAAATTTAATTGTGAAAATTTACACGAATCAAAATTCGCTTCCATAGACGGTGTCACTATTCCGTTCGAAACTAAATGTAGATTCTTGATGCAGTTATGCAGATCTCCGATGTGGTTGCATGGAGGTGAACCTTCAAGATTAGTACTTCAATGTCTAAATCAATAAGTGAATAAAATGATAGAGTGAATTATGATTAGAATCATACATTAAGTTACACCCATATTGACTTATATAATCCACACTAATTGACCTAAAACAACATCCAATACATTTTATCGCTATTTTTATGAGATCAAGAAAAGTTTATCCATGCGGCTCAAAAGGATCAATTAATGAAAAAATCATTTAAAAATAACATTTTGAAGTATCACACAAATAAAACAGTTCTTTCATATCTTGATTTCCTCTTAAATGGCCCATTAAGAACTCCATAATTTCCTTTTAACTCTCTATTTTCACACCCCCTTTCATAGTTAAAGAGCTTACATGAATTTCTCACAACAAACATTGAAGTTCAGTTGGGAAATGATTTGTTAGATTTGGGGTTTTGCATGTAAAAAACAAAAATCATCATAGTTTACCAAAAGGTTTTGACCCGTGTCTGACTAGTAGAATATGGGATTAATGTTGATGTTTTTAGCTTCAAGATGTTATTTATGACGCTGATGTGTTTGTTCAAAGAGTTTGGCTCATGGGATAAGTGTGGAATTTGTGCCCAAAGCTAAAAGTTAAATGAAAAGTTATTAATTAACATTATACCAGAACAAAATATTCGTCAGAGAATACAAGAGACAAGTGTTGTTACAAAATCATCTCAAAACCATAACTTCAACTTCAAAAGATTTATACATGGGACACACACAAATCAACAACATTATTCACCTACCATTGCAGGCCAATAAGACATTTTAATAACATTCCCACATCATGATGAGTGATTAAAATGCATTACACAAAGTAAAGAAAAACAAATTAAAAGGGGTATTAATGTGAAGCCTAATTAAAATGATCTTGGTTTAGCAACAATGGTGGAATGCTTGAGTATGTGCAGACTAAACTGTCCTCCTTTCTCAGAAGTATCGATCTTAGATTGTCCCGGTGGAGGCAAAAGCTCGAAATTCTGAACCAAACGCCCGATAGTAATACCAAGGATAGGTAAAGCAAGGATAATCCCAGGGCAACTCCTTCTACCAACACCGAAAGGTAGGAACCTAAAATCATTTCCGTTCGCCTCAACATGAGCCTCTTCCTCCAAGAACCTCTCAGGCCTAAACTCCTCCGGCTTTTTCCATAGAGCCGGGTTGTTTGCGAGCCACCACGCATTGACCAAAATCTTGCTCTCGGCCGGGATGTCAAAACCACCTAGCTTCGCATCATGAAGGTTCATGTGTGGGACGAGAAGTGGAATTGCCATTCGAAGACGGAGGGTCTCTTTGATCACGGCTTGTAGGTAAGGTAGCTTCTCGAGATCGGGTTCGATTACTTGGTGTCCTGGTCCAAGAACTTTGTCTATCTCTTCTCTTAACTTGTTTTGGATCTCTTGGTGGTTCACTAGCTCAGCAATTCCCCATTCAATTGACCATAATGTTGTTTCAATTGCTGTAAAAAATACACAATATTTTGAACATTAGAAAACAAAAAATCAAATTCATTGTCAACACATTCATGCATTTCTAAATTTTTTTTTCATTCTTTTCTATCTAAGAACACATTCAAGATGCATATGATTTCCTTTTAGTCTAGTAACTGCTAATCTAAACCAAAACAATGAAGCAAAGTAACCATCATCATGTTACATTGGAGGTAGGTGCACCAACAAATTTTGGTGACCACTATTGTTTATTGGAAGGTAGTAGGTGCACCACAAAATTTGGTGGCCACTAAGAGACAAAAGTGTATAATTGAGTCATTGTCAACTTGACTTCAAATATGATTAATTTGATTATAATTGAAAAGCAAATGTTACATTTTACAACTTTTAAGTCAAATGTATCATGGTTCGAATAGACACACCAACCAAAGTGTTGAAATTTGACAAAACACTTGAAAGTTAGATAAAGTCTTTGTGTATAAGATGAACTACCTCTAAAGGAGCAAACATTAGCATATGCAAGTTGAAGAGATAAGAATGGACCAATGGTAGATTATTTAATTTTTCACCTAACCTACTTTCTTTAATTAATGACTTGTTGGCAAATCTACGTGTTCCATTTTCCTCCATTGGTTGACAAATAAAAATTACTATCTTGTACACATTTCAGTAATAGTACTAGCTATGGGTACTATATACCATCAATATAAAATATTATTCTTTATTATAAAAAATACTTTCTTTTATTTAATAAATTTAAAAAATACTTACACTGCATCAAAAGAAAAAGCTAATATTATTAATTAGTTTTATTTTATATATAAATAAAGTTAGTATAAAACTAACATTCTTTTTTATCATAAAAAAATTAACATACTTTTTCTTTTATGGAAGAAAACATTCATTTTAAAATGTTAATGGGAGGTGACTGATCATCACAAAATACTAATAATAATTTAATTAAAATCACAACTATGTCCATCTATACATTATCATTATGATTATGAAAATAACCTACCTTCTTGTGACATGTGAGATTTATTATTATTATTATTATCATTATTTTATTTTAATAGTCATGTACTAGCATTATATATGTAATAAAGTGGAGTAACAAAACAAGGATCATATAAATCTTACCAGCAACATTGATGTTCTCAACAATGTAAAGAACATTGTCATCATTAATCTCCCCCTTCTTTTGAGCATCCAAAATATGATCAATAGCACATTTAATTCCTTCATTGTCAATGCTCTTAGTACTTCCAAGCTTCCTATTAACACAATTCCATTCAATTAAATTTAATCCAAACCAAACACTCCCTTAGCCACAAAAATGTAAATAAATAAAAAAGTCAGGTTAGGAATAAGTCATTTTCTCAACCAAAAAAAAAAAAAGTAAAAAAAGCCAAAAAAGGAAAAATAGAAAAGGTAAGTACTAGTACCAAAAACAAAAAGAACATTGAATATTCACGAAACTTACTTTCTCTCATCAACAAAATAGTCTTTGAAAAGCTGCAACCTTCTATCCTTAACCTCTTTACAAACCTTCAAATAGCCCTTCAAAAACGGTCTCAAAATCGGAATAAAATCACCATAGTTATACTCGAAACTTTGCGCCAATCGACTCCTTTCACCATTCAAAGCTTTCAACTTCACAAACAAAGGATCCTCCTCGCTTTCGAATCTCCTATCAAACATGATTCTATACATAATATTATACATCATCAATTGCAATCTTCTTCGTATCACAATTCCGTTGACACTAGCTTCCGGATTTTTCTTCACATCCTCGACAACACTCCCCGCTTCAGATTCCCAACCGAATCTGTACTGTTGGACAACTTTGTTGGTAAAGAACGGAACTGTCATGATTCTTCTCATTTTGCGCCAGTGCTCACCGTAGACAGTGAAAACCATGTCCTGTCCTTTTCCGGTGAAGATGTCGAAAACGACGTTTCGAGTTCTGGAACCGAATTCGACTCCTTGGGTATGGAGGACTTCTTTGGCGAGTTCTGGGGAGGAGATGACGACGAGGTTGCGTTGTCCCATGCGGAGGAGGAGAATTTCGCCGAAGCGTTTGGCTAGGTCGGTGAGGTTGCGGTGGTTGAGGTCATCGCCGACTTGGAGCCAGTTGCCGAAGATGGGGACGGGGAAGGGGCCGGGAGGGAGTTTGAAGCGTTTGCCGCGGAGTTTGGAGATTGTGATGGCGGTTATGGCGGCGATGAAGAGGGCTAAAAGGGTCTTTTCGAGAAGGAGGAGATCCATTTTTTTGTGTTTAGGTTGGTGTTGTGTTGTTTGGGTTTTTATAGAGAGGTTTTGGTGATTGGGGATGACATGTTTGAGTTTTTGGTTAGGTGGGTTAGGTTGAGTTTGTGGTTTTGGTGTCTCTTGTCATTTATCTATTTATTTTTTATAATCATTATTTTTAGAGCAAAGTTTTGACAATGTATTTTAGAATTTTTAATTTAATTTATGTTTGATGATTTACTTTTAAGAGAAAATTGGTGATGTTTGATGATTTACTTTTAGAATTTTTGTATTGATAATCTATATCTTAGTTTCTCTTTAAATAAAAACTATTTTGTCTTTTATTTATTTTTAAAGAAAATGAATTTTACAAAATCTTTTTTTTATTAGCGTAGAGCCTTTGGGTGAGCATTGACCAAATGGTATGTGGTTGGATGGTTTGACTTTACCAAGAAGTATTTAATTATTGTGACATGTTTAGATTTTTTTATAGGTTTCTCATTAGATAAATCAGATAATTTCATTATAAGCATTACCGGACAAAGAATAAAGATGATTTTTCATTTGATATTTAAGTTTTAGTTTTCTTTTTAAAAAGTTATTAATTTATAAATATAAATAAAAACATATATTAAATAGTTTTACTCATATAAATATTTTTACTATTTTCATCCTTAAATATTAATTTTCATTCATTTAACTCCACTACCATATCAATAGTTTTACTATTTTCATCCTCAAATATTAATTCATTATAGTGGAAAAGATTAGTTTCTTCAACTAAATTTAATGTTGAATGAATTGATTTAGTATTTGAAATTATAACTTATATTCAAAATTTTCTTTGTTCTTATAATTAATTTTAAATCTCTAATTTATTGTTTAATTTAAAATGTAAAAGGAATGTATATTGATTTATATTCTTTTTATTTTAACTAAAATCAATATTAAATGCAGGTTCAATAAAAATATTGATTCGATATACTGATAAAAAAAATATAAATTCTTTTTTTACTAGTCTAACTCGTGTGAATATGAAATGTATTTTAAATTTTATTGATTTTTGTTAAGAAAAAATAGTTTTAAAAATACTTTAATGGATATGTATTAATGTGAAATAATTTTACACTTTTGTCTAATAAAAAATAATAATATATCATATTATCAAAATAATATTAAAATTTTAATGTGATTTAACGGAATACACGCCGATGATTGATTGTCGATATAAATAATTTGTTGAATAATTTCTGAGCACTCAATTCTATATAATATTTGTTGAATAATATTCAATATTTATTAGATAAAAGTTAATGAATAATTAGTATTTATATTCTCATATCTCTGAAGTATTAAGATATTTTTAGATAGATTAAGAAATAACTTAATAACACATATTTGTAATTGAAATATAATTTAATACACAATAAAATGTTAATACATTTTTATTCAGCAATTCACAAAAAATATATTAAAAATCAATCAATTTTAAACTTAAAAATAACAACGTTACATATTTCAAATGAGACAGGCTAGAGATGTTAATGGTGTTATAGAACCATTATCACATCTTCTTTGCAAAAGGGTAATCAAAAAACGATGTTGAGAAGTTTCAGAATTCTGCTTACACAGATTACAGATGGATACCGTGGAACAACACATGTGCATGGGTCTAACATCTATTGCAACTTTGTCCTTAATTAACTTCCAAACGAAGATGGTCTTGGAGGGAGGGATATCACGACACCAAATAGTTTTTGCCTAATTTTGGTTTATAGAAGGAGAAATGAGTTTGTAGACATCTTTTAGAGAAAGCTCACCAGAATGAATCAAATGCCAAATAAGAGTCTTAAAAGGTCGTGTTCTTTAGAAGAGATCGTTGAATCTTGTTGTGAATGAAGGGGAACCATATATGCTCGTTTGTAGGAAACATCCAAGCCTCATTGCTGATGAAGTCAGCCCATTTGCTATGGAGATTGATGTTATGATGCTTAAGAAAATATGTGTTTGTATCTAAAATCAGAGGAGGACCAGACCAAGCATTAAGCCAAAAAGAGATAAAATCACCTTTACCAAGAGACCAAGCAGTGTTATGCTTTAAAGTGGTCATCTCATTTCAGATAGAAGACCATAAGGAGGGGGAAATGTGGTGATTAATGGCGCTAGCTTCTGAAAACTCTAGCTTTGAGAATAGTAGCCCAATCCTCTTTACTAGTGAACAAGTCCCAACCTAGATTCAAATTGGTAGCTTCATTGAGTCTTAGTATAGACCTCAGGCCTAGGCCACCATGAGCTTGAGGCCTACACATTTTCCTACATGCAACTTGAACTAATTTCCTTTTGCGGACTGCAACACTCCAAATAAAGTTCCTAGCAAATCTTTCTAACTCCTTGAGCAATGTAATGTGCCAAGAGTAACAAGAAATGGTATGAATGATCATGCTTCGAAAGACACGTTTTATAAGTGATCTGTCCTGATCAGACTTGGACCGTCACGGCTTGCTCCGAGCTGAAAGTTTTGAACGAGGTGGGGGGGGGGGGGGGGGGGGTACCTGCAAGACACTCCGATGCTGAAGTAAGTAAGAGCACGAGCAGGCAATAGTAAGTATGGGTAGAATGATTAATACCCGACCCTCTGGAAACAGAGGATATTTATAGCCCCCAGCGCTGGGCCAAGGTTTCTTCATTGGGCCGGGCAGGTTTGGCCCAATGGAGGAACTGTCAGGTTCTACGTGCGTAGTGGGGACCCGCACGTGGTCCCCTCCCTGGATGTTCTGCGTGAAGTACGGACGGACAGAGACGCGGTCTTTTCGGAGTCCCGTTGAGAGTGCAGTGGACTGGGTCTGCCCTAGGAGGGGTGCTCGAGGTGACGTCGAGCTGGAGAGTATGAGGTCGAGCAAGTAGCTTCAGGGAGCACGTCGGGCACGACTGTGATCCTTTGCTCGGCGTGGTCCCCAGCGAGTCCGTTTGGATTGGGCTTTCTCAATGTTATTGGGCCAGTCGGGCCCAGTCCAGAACAGGAGCCCCCCAAGTCGTGGTTCCTCGGACTAGGAGCCATGACTTGATCTTAGGTTGCTTCCGTCTCGGGGCCTCGTGCCCGGGTCAGAGACGCCGCTCCTCGTGGGGTGCTCCTCGCGGAGAGTGCTCGGGGATTCCTCAACGGCGCGTCTGTCGAGCGCGCGAGGTATCTCTTGGGAGCTGTGCCGCCACCCTATGAGGATAGGGTCATCATTGCCTAGGGAGCCATGCGTCGAGGAGAGAAACTCTGTGGTTGCCCGAGGTGACGTTTGGTATTCCACGTCATCACTATAAATAGGATCCTTGGGCCCCATAACGCGTTACTACTCTTTGCGCTCCTGCTGCTACTGTTCTTCCAGATTTTCATAGCATAGCTGCGATTCCCGTCACAGATTTCTTTCCTCCGTTGCTGAATCCACTCCTTGATTCCAAGTAAGTGACTTATCTTCTCTGTTTTTCTGTTGTGATGCATGATTTTCATCGTTTTAGACGCTTTTAGAGGCTGTGTGCGGGGGACTAGCCCGGTAAATTCATGTTTAGCTCGACATATTTATGCTTAGGATCGACAAATACATGCTCGTGGTCGGTAGATACATGGTTTAGGTTATAATCTGCAGTGCTGCCCGGGGTCTTCATGATCCAGGGCGCCTGATTCATGATCGTGCCCGGTATGCTCATGGTCCCGGCTGTAGGCTTTATGATGTTGCTCGCCATGTTCATACCTTGGCTCGGCATATTCGTGAGTGACTGTGTTGTCGGTTTGCTTAGGCGGCTTGGAGAAGGTCCCGTCGAGTTATCTGGACGTCGGGGGTCTCGCGGACAAGAGTTGCGCTGATGGCTTCGTTCGAAACGGCCAAGTACAAGTACAGCGGTTCTCCGTCGTCTGGTAGAGATAGCACGGGCGGCTGAGACAGACTTTGGTTTAGGTGGCGTAGTGCCTGGTCGCACTCCTCATTCCATTCGAAGGCTGCTTCCTTTCGAAGGAGTTTGAAGAAGGGGAGGGCGTGCTGAGCGGATTTCGCGATGAAGCGGGACAGCGACGTGAGCATGCCGTTCATGATTTGTATCGACTTCTTCGACGTCGGTGTTGGGAGGTCGGAGAACGCCCGACATTTATCGGGGTTGGCTTCGATTCCCCGTTCTGTTAGATAGAATCCAAGGAATTTTCCTGCCTTAACCCCGAACGTACATTTCTCGGGGTTGAACCTCATTTTACACTGTCTTGCTTGGGCAAAGACTGTCTTGAGATGAGCTGCATGGTCGGTGTCTGCTCGGGACTTGACGATCATGTCGTCCATATATACCTCGAGCATATCTCCGATCTGTTTGTTGAAAACTCTGTTCATCATGCGTTGGTAGGTTGCTCCGGCATTTTTCAATCCGAAGGGCATTACGTTGTAGTAATAGTTGCCCGAGCTGGTCATGAATGTCGTGCAGTGTTTGTCGCCCAGGGCCATCGGTATTTGGTTATAGCCCGAGTAGGCGTCCATGAACGACAAAGTTTTGTAGCCGGCCGAGTTGTCGACCAGCATATCTATGTTAGGCAAGGGAAAAGCATCTTTCGGGCAAGCCCGGTTGAGATCAGTATAATCAACGCACATTCTCCATTTTCCATTATTCTTTTTCACGAGTACAACATTTGACAGCCAGGTGGAATACCGGGCTTCAGAAATAAAATTTGCCTCTAGGAGGTCATTTACAGCTTTTTCAGCAGCCTCCATTTTTTCTGGAGACTGCCTACGCCTACGTTGTACTACGGCCCTAGCGGCTGGATCAATGGCGAGGTGGTGACAGGCGACCTCAGGGTCGAGTCTGGGCATCTCCGCAGCGCTCTAGGCGAACAGATCAGCATTCTCGCGCAGACAGGCCTTGATTTGCTTCCTGGCCAAGTCGGGGAGGTCTTTGCCAATCTTCACTCCCTTGGTCGGATCTGTTCCGAGGGGAGCGAGTTCAAAATCCCCGTCCGGTATTGGTCGGAGTGGGATTTGCTCGCTGCTGGA